TAGAGTTGAATCAACATGGGACGTAACACATGGGTACATGAGAGCAATAGTAGGAATCTCTCTGTATAGCTATCCTTAACTAGCAAAAACACTTTGTCTTCTTATTATGCTTATGTCTTTTCTTCAACAAAAATCAGTCACAGGGCAGAACGGGACCTGCCTGAAACTGAGGAGGGGAGGGGGGGCAGGGTGGAGAAATGACCCAAACAATGTATGCACATAATAAAAAGTAAAAATTATAAAAAAAACTTCAAAAAAAGTGCATGGAAGCAAACACTAGGAATCTCTCTGTATAGCTATCTTTATCTCAAAGTAGCAAAAACGTTATGCCTTTCTTATTATCTCTTAGGTTTTCTCTTCAACAAAATAAGATAAGAAGAGGGCCAAACAGGTTCTGCCTAGAAGTGAGGGGTTGGGAGGTGGGGAGTGACACAAACAATATATATACATGTAAGTAAGTGTAAAAATGATAAAATAAAAGGAGAGAAAAATTAAGAAAATGTTCTCATCACACAAAAACATGAATCATAGCTATAGCTCCTGAATCACATTTTACAGCATACATAAGGATGGTTCTAAAAGAACAGGCAGATAACTTAACCCTTAGGTAACTAGATAAAGTTATTTGAATAACTAAGTGATGTATTTTGGCAATTTAATACCATTTGCTAACAGACATAAGCATCTTCTGGGTGCAGTGGCTCTCACAAGTCAGAGATGGAGATTGGGAAGAATTGCATTTCAAGGGCAGTCAGGGAAAAAGTTCTCAAGACTCCATTTCAAACAAAAGGCCAAGTGCAGTTGTGCAAGCCTGCCATAACAGTTATGAGGGAAACATAAATTGGGATATCTTGGTTCAGGCCAGCCCAGGCATAAATATCACACCCTAATGGAAAAATAACAAAAATAAAAAGGGGTCATGACTCAGTGGTAAAGTACCTATTTGGCAAGCACAGAGCCCTGAGTTAAAACCCTAGTATAAAACAGCAATAGACAAAAGCATCTTTTTTCGAGAGTACATTTTTAAGAAGTTATGCTTACATAAGATGAGCATGCTGTTAAAATATATTATTGTTTGTAATAGAAACTGGTTAAAGGAACTAAATTTCTTCACAAGAATTATTTGAAATAAATTTAGGGGCACCCAAGGATGAAACATGTGGACCATGAGAAACAATGCAAATGAGATTTTAATGAACATAAATTGAAGATTTTATAGAAATTAACATTTTTATTAGCATATATTATTTTGAAGAGGGGAGTTTTCATTATAGCATTTCCATATATGTTTCTGATGCCACCTTTGTCAGATTCATCTGCTCTGTCAACCTCCCTCACCCCCTTATCCCTCACTTAAAACAATTTCAACAGGTTTCATTATTCTCTCAATATAAGTATATGAAGTACATCAACCATATTCACTCTCTCCAATCGCTAGCCACTCCCACTCTTACCCACCCCTAAAAGGACTGTTTTTCATTTCCTGTCTTTCATTTTTAAGTGTATGTTCATTGCCCAAAAGACCTACAACATGTTCTTTCATCCATGAAGTGTTGTGCTTTAAATCAGATAACTGCTTCAGTACTGTCCCTTACCATTTCCCCTACTAATCAACAGTCTTCAGTATTGTTTCTTTATGCCATCTTCCTACACAGATGAAATGTACTTCAGCATTATTTCACTCATTCTCACTTCCCCTCCTTCCTCTCCCTAGCCCTCAAATGGTCCCGAATATTAGATATTTTATATATTATGCACACATATATGTATATATTTAATGTGTTTATATTTGTGTGTATGTTTATCTTTTGGATCTAATCTTCCCAAGACAAAATATGCTACCTTTGTCTTGATGAACCTGGCTTGTTTGCTTGATATGATCTCAAGTTCCATCTACAAAAAGACATAATTCAATAGTTCTTTCTAAAATTTTATTTTTATTTTATTGTACTGAGTAGGGGTACATTGTGACATTTACAAAAGTTATTACAATGTCAAATATATCACACTTGAATTCACCCCTGCACCATTCTCCTTTACTCCCCCATCCCTCCAATTCCTGGAATAGTTTCAACAGGTATCATTTTTCCACTGACATGCAAGTGTACACAGTATTTGCACCATGTTCACCTCCTAGACTCCCCTTCTCCCCGCCGCACTGGTATCATTCCCCTCAGGCAGGTCCCGTTTCATCCTCCTGTTCTCTGATTTTGCAAAAGAAACAAAAAGAATGACATTTTTTGCTGTTTAAGATAGCTACACAAGGAGTTTCCTTGTGCACTTCCATAATCTATATGTATTATAGCTTAATTTGGTTCATCTCCTCTATGTTGTGGAATATAGACCTAATACAAATACAGCAATATTTGAAAACAAGTCATGCTAGGGGAGGTCACATACGGGAGGGGAGGGTAAAAGAAGGAAGTTAAGATGAATTTTTAAACTGGTTTAACCAACCATAAGAAAGGGACTAAGGTAGAAAGAAAATTTCATACTTCTTTATGGCTGGCTAGCACTCTGTGTGTGTGTGTGTGTGTGTGTGTGTGGTGTACAATTTCTTAATGTGTGTATATAATACATTTTCTTAATCCATTCATCAGATTTAGGGCATCTGGGCTGTTTCCATAGCTTGGATATGAATAGCAAAGACTGCTGCAATAAACATGAGCATGCAAGTGACTCTATTGCATCCTGACTTACATTCTTTCTGATATAGGCCCAGGAGTGGCATCACGGATTGTATGGTAGTTTTTAATTTTTTGATTCCATGAGTATATGATAGTTTTTAGTTTTTTGATACTGCTCTCCATAGTGGTGGTACTAATTTACATTCCAGCCAACAGTTTATAAGGATTCATTTTTTTGTATGTGATACTGGGGCTTAAAAACTCAGGGCCTTAACTTGAGCCACTCCACCAGCACTAATTTTTGTGAAGGGTTTTTTCAAGACAGGGTCTTGTGAACTATTTGTCTGGGATGGTTTCAAAACGCGATCTCCTGATTTCTGCCTCTTGAGTAGCAAGGATTACAGGGTGTGAGCCACTGGTGCCTGGCTTAAGGGTTCCTTTTTTTGCCACATCCTCGCCAACATCTGTTGCTGTTTGTGTTCTGAATGGAGTGAGGTGGAATCTCAAAGTGATTTTGATTTGCATTTAATTTATGGCCAAGGATGCTGAGCATTTCTTCATGTATTTATTGGCAGTTTGTACTTCTTCCTTTGCAAATTGTCTTTTCAATTCTTTGCCCATTATTCATTGGGTTGATGATTTCTTGAGAGTTTAGGTTTTTGAGCTTCCTGTGTATTCTGGTTATTAATCCCTTGTCAGATAATGGCTGGCAAAGACTTTCTCCCATTCTGAGCTGTTGCTTTGGTGCCTTGGGGCTCTAAGAAATGGTCCATGGATCCTTGCTACCACAATTAATCAAAAACCAAAGAAAGGGAAAAGAAGGTAAGAAACAAAAAAGAAGAAAAGAAAATACACACAATGGGGCAACAACTTTCCCAGACCGACTGTCACATGTAGCATTCCAGGCCTGATCTCTCTGCCTTAACAATAAATTTTGGTACCTCACACAAACCCTTTTGTTAGTTGAATGCATCCACACCCACCTGCTTTGAGTGTTAGTTACTCATGGCTTATAGCTTCTTCCTTCTCTATTGAGAGAATAAGCCCCACTCCCAAAGGACAACCTACACCAGGGAAAGGATGACAGTGTAGCAGAGCAGGCGGAAACTGTTACTTCTGCCTTCTCCATTCAATTATTTCCCTAAACTTTTAACAACCCATTCCCTTTCACGTGGTATTCTAAATTCCACAGAGACCATCTCTAATGCCTCCTCCTCTTCTCAGATTATATGAATTCACTTGCAGAAATGTAATGCATGTGTCTGGAAAGAAAATGCAGATGCTGGCCAGGAGGCCAAGATCTCAGATCCTGGTCAACTTTCAAAGAATAGGAGATAGACTGTGATCTGGAGGGAAAAACTCCACTCAGCATTGGGATTTCCCCCCTGCTGCCTCAGTGTGACCCATTATGTTACCCTTTTCACTTCCTGACCCCAGCACAGTAGCTCACACTTGTAAGCCTGCAACTCAGAGAGGATCATAGCCAGCCAGCTAAAAATACTCAAGACCCAATCTCAACCAAGAAAAAGTTGGGTATAGAGGAACGCAGCTGCCATCCCAAGCCTTGAGGGAAGCATAAATACGAGCAACGAGGCCCAGGCCAGCATGGGCTAAATGTGAAGCACTACTAGAAAAATAAAGAAACCAAAATGGTCTGAGACCATCGATCAACTCATAGAGCACCTGCCTGCCAAGTGCATGTCTCTGAGTTAAAACTCCAACACAAAAGCAAAAACACACACAAGCAGCATGAATTTCAAGTGGTCACCTTTTAAATGATCTTCAAGGTTAAAGGAGACAATAAACAAGTCTCTTGTTCCACTGGGAAATTATGCTGTAGAATTATAGCTAAATGTCTTTGATACATAATAACTTCTGAGGTCATTTATCTGAAGTTAGGTAAAGATTTAAATAAGAAATCATCTACTTCTTCTCTAGTATGATGTAATATATTATAATTCATAATCAGATAAAAGTCAAGTAAATGAAAGCCATTTATATGATTAAAAATAATAGAAATTGTATTACTATAATGATAATCATAGTTTCAGTAAATGATCTACTGAGTGAGATAAGCCAATCTCAAAAGACCAAATATTGCATATTCTCACTAATTCATGGAACCTAGAGCAAAAACGACGATGATGATGACAATAATAATAACATGGCATGAATGTACATGGGGCACTGTCTGAGGGATCAGTTAAGAGAAATTGAAAGGAAATTACACTGTAGGGTGAAGAGGGTGGAAGTACACTATATAGACAGAGACTTGGAACAAGAAGTGGGGAGAGAAGAGAGGAAGAGAAGAGATGGTGGAGCTGATCAAAGCATGATACATAGAATGTATAGGAAGTATTCACAGTGAAACTCAACTAATTTGTACAATTAATAACTTTAATAAAAATCCTTTTGAAAATCCTGTTGATAGGAAAATCTGAATGATTGGTAGGAAAAAGCAGAAAGCACGGCATTAGTCTAATCCATGTGACCACAAGAGGGTACCATTCACAAACAAGTCAAGTCTTAGTCCTTGGCTAAGGAGACAGAAGGTGAATCTCAGGCTGTAACTGGACTGACATGGCAGGGTCTAAGTGATGAATTCTGATGACTTCCCAGCTTCCACCTACTTAAGGAGAAAAAGAGAAATTAAACCTCAGAAGTCAAAATTACATTCCTGAAGATGACTTGTCATCTAAGATTTCTCTAAGTTTCTAAAAATTTAGGAAAAGACACCTGTATGTAAGTCTCTAGCATTCCCCATAACACCATTTATGATGTTTTATTTTGTCTTTTCACATTTACAGGTAGCATTCTAAGCATTTATCATATTTTCATCATTTACTCCCATGATGAGATTTAATTATTATTATCACCTTACACATTAAGAAACAGAGGCACAGAAACATTACATGGCTGTTCAAGACCACCCAGCCTGGACATTGGGATTTGACATCAGACACTTTGACTCCTCTTCAACACGACAGTGATAGGTCACTGAAATACCACAAAGGATAAATTGAGATTATAAATTCTTATATATTCTTATGTGCCATCTAGACTATAATGTGCTATCTAAACATAAGAAATTGATGATTATTGTTTGAAGTCATATATGGTGATTATTTAGAATTAATAAAAAAAGTATTGTTAACAAGGTTCAAAATAGAGCAAAATGCTTTCTTGGACATTATTTTTATCTCACTCAAACATGTATTTCCATGAGTCAACCAAGGTTCAGAGAGGCTAAGCTGGTAACCACAGGAGCACAAAGGCCAACCAGTGAGTTTAAGCTCTCTGAGCTTCAGTTGAGTCATGATTGAAGTGTCAAAGAGATACCTGTTCACACAGTGTTTTGTGGTACTATTCACAATAGCTAAGATTGGGAATCTACCCAGGCAACCATTGACAGATGAATAGATTAAAAGAAAAATATAGTCTGTATTATTATTCAGCCACAAAGAATGGAATCCTCTATTTGCAGCAAATTGAATGTAACTGGAAAGCCAGACACAGGGAGATGAAATATTTCACATATAATAGGATACAGGAAAAGTTGAGCTAAAAGTAGAACGTGAATTATTAAAGGTGGAGAAGTTTGGGGAAGGGGAGATGGTGAATAAAGAGAGGCTGGATTTGATTAAAGTATTCTGTATGCATGTATCACATTAAGTCCCATTAATATACACAAGTAATATATTTTAACCAAAAGAAAAGAATGAAAGAAAAAAAAGAGCAGCACACAAGCAGGAGCACTATATGTTTCCCAGATTGACTGTCCTCATGCAGCATTCCAGGGAAGATCTCTTGGCCTTGGCAGTGAATTTGGTACCCACAAGGCCCTCTTTATTAGGTGAGTGCATCAACACCCACCTGCTTTGAGTATTAATAGCTCATGCCTTACAGTCGCCTCCTTCTCTATTGGGAGTCTGAGCCCCATTCTCCAAGGGACAACTTTGGAACTCACACAGGCATTTGTTCATGTCCTCTTTCACCTCACCGATCATTCTTTTAAGCATTCTTCTGAATGCTGTTTTGAGATTTCTTCCACTTGACTATCACTGATGTCAATGCTATGAAGTAGTTGGCTTCGGAGGGGTCATGCTACCTCATGGGGATTTGTACTGAGGCCACGCCACTGGTTGGAAGTTTTAAGCACCTGTACCTTTCAGTCAAAGTGCTCTCAGTTGTTCAGGCAGGGTTTGTAGTGAAAAGGGTGAGGTGTAGTTTTTTCATTATTGGACTGGGGGTGTAGATCAGTAGCCAAACATTTGCCCACATGCTCAAGGTATTCAGTCCTGATTCCCAGCACACTAAGATTGAGGAAAAGTAGCTGGGGTCACCCATAGCTCCTGTGTATGGATTAATGTTGTCTGTGGTTTAAGGGCAGGGTCAGTAAAGTTGTCTGCTTCTGTGCTGCTTTCACCTTAGAATCTTCCCTACTTTGTATATTGGAAGACACTGATGGTGGGAAGGATCTTTGTAGTCCGCGGACCATACAGGTGCTCTCTTGCTGGATAGGCACCCCTGTTTGTGCCCAAAGGAGAAGCAAGCATCAAGCCTGGGGGTGACCCCAAATGTGTTGAATAGCATGGGAAGCAAACAGAGCACTGACTTCTGCACTGGTGGTGAGAACTGAAAGACTCAGGAACTCTGCTTGCAGGCCTCAGTGCTTCTCACACCACCCAGAATTTCACCACCTTATGGGGAGGAGAAGGCTGGGGAGATCACATGATCCCTGGGTCCTGTCTCAGAGTTCTCACTCCCACCTGGCAGCAGACACTTGAAGGTGGCAGGCAGCTCCTAGAGGCTGAGCACTCCACTAGCCACAGACTTGGTACTCTGTTTCTACAGTGATCTTTAGACAAGGGGACTTGCTGTTGCCAGGAAAAGCAGGGCCACCAAACACAATGGCTTTAGCTACCAGAAATCCTCAGTGCTTAAACTCAGGCAGGCCGATGTCAGACTTACTCCCCCTCCACAACCACCTCTCATGGTCATCTCCAATCCACACTCTATGCCATGGTGCCCCCAAGACTCCCTGAACCATGATTGTTCCTTCTTTCCAAAGCCCAGAGTAGCTCAGTCCCAAATCACCACTCGAGTAAACACCTGCAACCAGGGAGTACTCCTAGAGCCCATACTCTCTATCAGAGTGGTGCTCTCTTCCACAGTGACCCTCAGGCAGTAGGATTTGCTCTCTTCAGAGAAGGCTAGGCATTAACTACTGCGCCCTTCACTATCCAAACCCCCAATACTTACACATCTCAGCAGGTCCACATCAGACCTTCCTCTCCACAACCACCTCTCAGAGCTCTCCCTCCACGCACTGTGGCTGGGTGCCCCAAGACTCCATGAGCTGCAGTTGTTCCTTATTTCAAGTACACAGAGTAACTCAGTCTGGAGCAGTAGATCCCCTCTCAAAATTGTGCTATAGATCTCCAAGATATGCAGAGGGAAAAAAATGCCTTCCTTGTCCAATGCTATCAAGTCATGCAGGGGAAGTCACTTTGTACCAAATCCCCACATGGGGTTTAATGCTTGTGGGAGATGTGGGCTTGTTCCAATCTGTGGGTTTCAGAGGAACCTACCTTACTTGTGGTAGCGGCTTTGGCTTCCCCTCCACCACGACCCCAGGGAGCTGAGTGGACCGCAGAATGTCCCTGTTTTACTTTGTTGACTTTCTGTTTCTCTTCTGCTTTCGGCTGTCCCATCCCTTGTTCATGGATCCTGATGCTTTTCCTCTCTTTTTTTCCCACACACAGTTTCTCCCTTGTTGCCCTGACTCTTTGCATCAGTGAGTCAGAGAAAGCTCCTACTCTGATATCTTACTCCACCCCCTAGATTTTTTAGTGTTTCTTAAACTTGCTTTATGTCCTAAAATGTGATCTGTTTCGAAAAAGTTCCTTTGGACTGCTGAGAAGAATGTGTATTTATGCACGGAATATTCTGTAAAATGTCTATAAGTCCGTTTGATCTATACTGCAGTTTAACTCTGAAGTTGCTTTGTTTAGTTTTCATCTAGATGATCTATCTATTGATGAAAGTAGAACATTGTTTACAATCCCCACTATAATTTTATCTGGACCCAGCTGTCCTCTTATGTTTGTTTTTACAAAATTGGTGCACCAATGTTTGGTGCACATAATTTACAATCATTGTATCTTCTTCATCAATTTTTAAATATATATAATCTCTTCTGGGTTTTGACTTAATTCTTCTTTGTCAAATTTTAGTATGCTACTGCTACTTACTTTCATCTTCCACTTGTTGGTGACTTGTTTTCCATCCTTTCATTTCAGTCTATTTGTTTCTTTTACAGTGAGGTGTGTCTCTTGAAGAAAGAAATTGAATAATGTTTATTTTGGAGGTACAGGGAATTGAACTGTACCTTGTTTTTCAAGGCATGTATTCTAACAATTTTGCCTTGCCACCAGTTCTAGGAGTTGCTTCATAATCCAATCAACCAGTCTGGGTCTTTTAATTAGAGAGTTAAGGATATTTTACATTAGGGTTATTGATAGGTATTTGCTGATTCCTGTAACTTTGTTGTTTCTTTTCCTGGTTGATTCAAGCACTGTTTTATTATTTTCTAATTCTCTTTTGTTCCTTTATTCCACTAATGAAATTTGTTCTTTCCTGACCTCTCATGTTTATGACTGTCTTTCTTCCATGTGGGTGTATAGGATACCTTTATGTTTCTTATGCAACAAATGGCTTAGTAAATTACTGTAGTCCTGTGATTCTCTTGGAAGATCTTAATTTCTTCATTGATTTTAAAGTATAACTTTGCAGGATATAGTGATCTGGTTGGCAGTTATTTACTCTCAAAGCTTGAAATATTTCATTCCATACTTTGGCCTTTATAGTTTGTGTTGAGAGAGCTTATTTAATTACAATGGGTTTTCCTTTGTAACTAAGTTGATACTTTTCTCTTACATCTTTTCAACCTTCCTTCTTTGCTGTCTAGACTTTGCATTTTAACTATAATATGGTGTAAAAGAGTTCTTTTTGGTCATGTCTTTTTGGGGTTCTAAATGATTCCTGTATTTGATGTCCATATCTTTCCATAAGGTTGGGAAAATTTCCTTTTGCATTTTTATTGGAGTAGATTTTCTATGACTTTAGTGGGTATCTCAGCTACTTCTTCTATCACATGGGTTCTTAAGTTTGGCCTCTTGATCATCTCACAGAGTTCTTGGAGGATGGAACATACTTGTTTGGTTTTCTTTTCTTTATTGCTTTCTGAATGTGATATTTCCTCAACTTTGTCTAAAAGTCTGATATTCTTTCCTCAGCTTGGTATAGTCCATTAGTAATGCTTTCCATAATGATTTTATTTGATTTATTTAATTTTTAATTTTCAACATTTCATTGTGTTTTTTTTTCAGAATCTCAAGTTTGTTGAGCTATTTCTCATTCATGTTTGTTGACTTTCTTCTTCAAGTTTTTAATTAACTTCCTTACTTCATTTTACAATTTGTTTGAGTCCCATTTTGGGTAGTTAATCATTTTTAGAACTAGAATTTATAATTCTTTGATATTTCAGCTGTTGTGGTATCTCTTGATTCAGTTGTTGTGGAGTTATGTAATTTCTGAGGCATAATGATGCCTTGGCTTTTAATATTT